TCATTATGCACATTTGTGTGCCCTAAACTGTATAGTCTCCCTTGGAGGATGTGGCAGACCCTACGTGAGTCGCAAACACACATCCATGTGGGTGACAGTCCATAGACGTGTGTATAAATATGTGCGCCAGACGGATCCTCGGGTTTGTGACTTTCAAAGCCCAAATAAACCCATCAATACGCCTTTGGTCAACTATTGTCGTGCCGACATAGCAAGTACTCAAGACCGCACAAAGACAGGTATCGATTTATATGTCTGCCTGTCCTTTCAGAGGAAACTCAGTCAAACACATGAATTCTGGGCATCAAACTGTGCTGTAAAAAAAGAATTCTTTTTTTCATTTTTTTTTTTTTTTCCCGGAGGAAGTGTGGCTCTGAACGTTTGCCATAGATATGAAGAAGGAGGACTGGAGGAGACAATGGGAGCTTTCTGGCGCCGGGTGAACAATGCTGTGAATTGCAGGCTCCCTTTTCTCAAATGTAGCTCTCTCTCTCACAGACATGCACACACACGCGCGCGGGCGATTCTGTGTTTTTAAAGAGTGTGACTACACTCCCAGCAACATAGAGGAGCGTCTCTCAGCCACGGAACACAGCCTGTGCTTCCCTCTCTCGCTCACAGGCACGTTTGCTGCCCCGAAGGTCGGGGTCACCTGCCGTGGGGAGGGGAGGGGGAGGGGGGTCAGAGGACAGGGCCGATGCTTTAAGGCCGCCGCTTAGTATCCAACAGCTAGACCTTTCCGGAAGACCGGAAAACTAATCTAAGGGGGCGGCGGGCACCACTATCAGGAGCGGAGACCTTCGGGGGCGTGGACGTGGAGTGGACCGGCGGGAACCAGAGCTGGGGCTCGGAGGGGCAGCATGAGGAGGGGGCGGCCCCCGGGGGTGCAGGGGGGGGCGCGGACTGGGAGATGCAGGGGCTGCAGATGGTGGCCGTTGTGCTGGTGGTCTGCGCTTCGCTCAAACTGCTGCACCTACTGGGACTCATTCAGTTCACGGAAGGTAATGGGAGTCGGGGGGGGGGGGGGGGGGGGGGGGGGGGGGGGGGGGGCTTGGGGTAGTGGATGGGGGTCTTGGGATCCATTGTACCTGCTTTGAAAAAGTGATATTTAGCTAAAACGAGAGGAAATTAAGGTGCTGGCATTCTATAATCATTATAATTATACAGAGCATTTATTGTTACTTACTTTTGAGGATAATCATGAGTAGAATGCTATATATTCAGATTAATATTATATTATTATTATTATTATTATTATACTTTTAAAATGGTGGTGGAAGCGAGTGAAAACATTATGCAACATTTTGTATACCTTTAAATGTGCATTTAATTACCAGCTTAATCTATACGCAGCAAGTGGTGAAGCAAACTATTTATATTTCAATCAGAAACTCATCAGCCCACCACTGGGAGAACTTAATAGAAATAATTTACTAAATATTTACGCTAATGTGGTACAAATGTTGATTTGGTTTTATTGTTCATTATGCTAAACAATGTGATGTGAAACCGGTCAGGATTTGATGATGATTGGCTTGGGTTAAGTTGAGAATGCTGACTTCTGTTTGATATGCAGAAATGATGAAGCTGTATGACCTGTTTGCCTCAGTAATAGTCATCTGGATGTGCTGTTTTAAATGGCTTTGGGAATAGATAAAAGAGAAACATTCCGGAACATCTGATTATTAAAATGAAAGGATAATGGCCCCATTTATAGGGATTTCTGCCCTAACTCTACGCAGTAACCGCTGTGAAAAGGCAAAGGTTCGTGCAAAGATTTCACATCTAAATCAGTCTTGTCTGAAAGTCAGAATTTGCTTCTAAAATGCTACATAACTGCAGCATATTTATGGCTGTTACCGCTACACAGTTTAGCAAAAATACAATATATTTGGAAATATACATGTATCTGGATTGTATTGCACAGTGATTTTGTAGACAGTTAGACGAGTGTGTGTTTACTTGCACAGGTAAAAAAAAAAAACATATACGACCACACAAGAATGTGCTGTTAATGGTTTGATTTGCTAAGGATAGATGCACAGATGAATAATGTATAACAGTAGATGCTATCTGAAATAACCTTATGATTTTTTTGAGCATGAGAGAGATAGAGAGAGAGAGAGAGAGAATGACTGATGCAGTTCAGCTTAATCACTGGTTCTACTTCATATGATCCTTAAAAAAGACACAGCTACCATAACGTCTTGGCAGATTAATTACTCTTTTAAAGCACCAAGTACTTTTATGGAGGGTAACTTACGGCGGGGGCATTATTTTATAGGAAGCTCACACTGAGTTCTTTCCGCTCTGACACATTTTCAGATTTATTTGAATCTGTGGCTGCTCTGGGGGACTGACTGGGCAAACATGAGGACAATCAAACTTATACTCTGTGCCGCTGAGCTCTCTTTTGAACTGGCCGGTTTCACAGCTGGCCCCGGAAGTCAAAATTACAAAGGATTAATCTTGACAAAAAGTGCTTAGCACTGAATATGCCTCAATAGGGACTGTGTTGTGGTGTAGTGAAGGCCAACATGAGTATGTGTGTGTATGTACGTATATATCAGTCCAGCATGATGGTAATGTCACAGTCATTTGTCATGGCGAGAAATCGCCCGGTTCCTGTAGCTGACGGCTTGTTTCCGAAGACTAATCCTCATGGTAAGTTGTTGAGAGGCGGCTCTGGGATGACTGGGCTAAGCTCGTCCACAGAAGGCTTAGCAGCTGGGGCTTCCTGAAGACGCTTCCTCACCTACTGGCTTCACGGGGCCTTCATGGCTGACAGCATGAATTCTGTAATCCCAAGCCGGGTGTCTGGATCGTCCTTAGCCGGGGGTCTTTGAGCGCTAAGACAAGTGATGATCTGCGTCCTTTTGCTGCAGAAGATGGCCCACAAACTTCTGTCCACTATAGGGTTATGCATCTCGTAAGGTCATTCATAAAATTAATAGTTACAGTATACCTCTCTCTTCCTGGAAGTCATTTCCTTATTTAGACTCCCTGATGAGTCAAACTCATGTAATAATGATAACATTTCTAAGTCCTATAAACTGAGAAAGACCAGCTTGTGAATTTGAAAAGCAATCTGCCATCTTCCTGTATCTGTTTACAGTGTCATACGCACTGATACAGGGGAGCGTTTTGTCTTTTTAAGCTGGTTTTCCTGCTCGATCTCCGCAGCTCGTAAGGCAGTAGCTGCCCGGCAGTGTGAATGTAGTATTTTAACTGCGAAGGATTTAACTGGCTAATTTAAAAAGCGTTCAGGTCACACAATTCACAGAACGTCCACAGAAGTCTATAGATACTGTGATGCATTAAGAGAGGGCTTCAGAGTCAACGGTCTGACGTTGAATGTGACTCCACTGTAGCACCACACTCAAAGGGTCATCCAGGACCAACAACTCACTGGCTAGACGAAGTCCATGTCCACTGTGGTAACTCCTACCCTTTCTAACACTGCCATTCCTGTATTGGGGATAATTCATTTCCACAGGTCATGCTGTCAGACGGTCTCTGGATTTCTTTGTTGAGTTGGAGCTGAACAAACATGTTTAAGCTGATAGGCATCAAGCTGCAAAGTCAGCAAATGACACAATAATGAATTTAAGCAGTTGCACAACGTGCCTTACAAAGAAAGGGAAAAACCTTGAGTATTTTTCACACGTTCATTTTGCTTAATAAACATTACATATAATATTAACATAATAAACTCCTTCTTCCTCACTGCCATCAGACTCCTTAACAGCCGACAGGAGTATGAATAATGGACATCATACTACCATACTACCATACCATACTACCATACTACCATACCATACTACCATACCATACTACCGCATACTGTATTTTTTTGCACATTAAGCTCTTAAAAGTATTTGTTTTTCTATTTTTTTCTGCTATATTGTACCTCGGCATTTTTGTGTGGACAGCAGAGTAAAAATTTCATTGCACAGAGAAATGCACGTTTCTACTGTACATATGACGATAAACGCGTTGAATATTGAATCTTGCAATATATGAGAACACTTTCAGGAGAGAAAGAATGAGATATTTAATAGTCGTTTTTCGGGTGATAATAATTAGCTCTTTATAAACATTCCGGCCAGAAAGTCAAATCTGGTTAGAATGCAAAAGCCTACTGAAAAATCCATCCGGTTTATTGGCCAGTTCAGCAGATCGATGCATCATAAATGTTTATATATACGGCATTGATCTGTGTCCCTGCTGGCTGACGCCTGTGGGCCCAGTTCAGCTTGGTGACATCAGGCTCTGCAGCCACTGCATAGGTAGAGAATGGATATTCTGCTAGCTGACACCTACTGGAAGTCTTGAAAACAACACCACAGTCTCCTACTCATATTTCTTTGTGTATTTCTTTTCACTGTAGATGCAGCAACTATACTTTCTTTCCTCAGAATTTGCTTGAACTATACTACTCCAGTATACTAACTATACTTTAATGACATCGCTGGCAGTGTTACCTCGGCCCACTATGGTGAAAAAAAGCATGAAAAACACAGAACCAATAAAATACCACTGCTGGTGATACTGGGATAGTGTTACAGCTGATTTAAGTTTCAAGAATGATAAAGACAATTTTTTTTATCCAGTATATTTAAAAAAAAAAAAGAAGCTTATATTGTTTTGAACAGAGAGGAAAGTAAGAAATGTTTTGCTGTAATTGGAATGTTTTGCATTATTGTTGCATAAGGCTTATATTACCAGCTTTGCATAACTATTTAAATTTAAACTCTGCCTGTATTTGTTTTTAAAAATGACCAGAGGAGAGCGAGGTCTCAAAAGCCATCGTGGCAATCTCAGCCGGAGCCCTCATTGGCAGAAAATGGAACGGTCAGGACTTTATAAGGACTCGAAGTGCGCAATGTAGCTCTCTAAAGTTCAGACGTTGTTGCACAAACACAGCATCGGGAAGTGACAGGAGCGTGCCCTTAGTGCACATGCTGCTACAGCCCTAAGGATGGCGCTCTCTCTTGCAGACAGCATTGACGATGAACAGGAGCAGTACACGATCCGCCATCGTCCCGAGGCTCTGGAGCAGTTAGAGGCCCAGACCCAGTTCACAAAGAAGGAGCTTCAGATTCTCTACAGAGGCTTCAAGAATGTAAGAGTCATCTAATTTACATCTTTGTCTGCTTTTTTTCCCCCACAATTATCCTTCTCCAACACCTGTGAAATCCTAACTTCCCTCTGGGGATCATTAAAGCAGCTTCTCATCTCTCTCTTGCTAACATCTCAAACTGTAACACCGGGTTCCCTCTATGGAGTGAAAAATAAATAAAGGAATTATTTTGTTATGCAATTATGCAGGACCCATACTTACACTCCACGATAATACTGGATACGTGGCTAACATTTAAAATGCTCTCGTCTACAAACGCATCGCCGTGGAAGCAGCTAATAAGATAGCATTTGGCATTTTATCATTTAAACTGAAATGCTGTTTACATCCCTGATTCCTTGTGTTTTATAATAACATCCACTTTATCCATAGCCTGCTACCCAAACAAGATGGGCAGCATTACCAGCAAAGCTACAAATCTTTGGAATGTTCCTAATTAATGCTCAAACGGAAGGCATATATATGGAGACCTGTACTGGGAGAGAAGGTTTCCTGAGCGTCTACAGGGTCTGGAAGATCAGCAGAACGGGGTTATTTTACTCTGAAATGTTTAAAATGTCCTTTAAAACACCTCAGACTCTATCCTTCCTGATTTAAAGTAGAATTAAATCTTGTTTTTCTTGCCTGGCTGGGAGAAGCTTTCAGCACAAAGCTAAATAATGATCCATTAATCATGTTGTTGATGGTTTTATTGGTCTGTGGTTTAATATGATGGGGATGTTGTAGGCTCACACAACGACCTTTGTCCCTCTGTTCCGGCTGTCCCTGGAGATTACATCACTACGGTGTGACAAAAGACCTTGCCGTCATCACTCTACCGTCTAAGCCTCAGTCTCTCACTCCGCCAGATCCGCACGATTGTTTTCCCTGTCGCGAACCCGGGCAGAGCCGTCCAGCTGTGGGCAGGCAGGGACAGCTGGCGCAGCAAAATGCAATAACTGGGCCGTATCATGACAATCTGGCTGGCCTCACGTGCCTGAAATGGGAAACGGTCAAAACATGATAAAAAAAAAAAAAAGGACTCAATACCTTGACACGAAGGTCTTATGGCACACAAGAACGTGTTGGTGCCGGAGAACTGGAAAAGAACCCCCCCCCCCCCCATTAGCCCCTCCTAAGTTAGCGTGCCACGTGGTTCTGGGTTTAACTGTCTGATTTTTAATAACATTCCAGTCCCATTTACGGTAAAGGTCTGCATCTTGACGTTACCGTTTTGAATATTGTTGGGCACCCAATATACAGTTTCCATGATGAATAAAGAACGCCCCATACGTACCACACATGAAGGCTCTATGTTACCAGTTTGGGCTTGGGCATCAATTGCTACTTACGAAAATGTTGAGCATATATTATGGACATTTCCAACAAACTTTTCGTAAAATGAATAAAAGGGAAATTGGCACTTCTGAGTTTTAAAGTATCTCATTTATGTGTTTTTGGTGCTTGAGGCTATCCAATTATGAGTTTCTTTTATATCCTTTCAAATATTTTTTTGGGAGATTTCTGCAAATTACTTTATATGTCTGCTTTTTTGTTTTCCTCAGGAATGTCCAAGCGGGGTGGTTAATGAGGAAACCTTCAAAGGGATCTACTCACAGTTCTTCCCACAAGGAGGTATGGAGTGCTGAGAAGTCTGGGGGGGGGTGGGGGCATCTCTGCCTCTAATTTTATTTTCACATGGTCCATGTGAACCAGCGCACTGTAATAAATTTCATTCATCTAATTGCTGTTATATGCTGTTATATAACTGAAACAGTTTCCCGTGGCACGGGGGCCTGTGACAATGTAAAGCCGAACACACTGTTCTGATAAAGAATAAAACAGATTAAATTAAACTCAAATGCAATGAGTTTCTTTCTGTAAACCTTGCGGAGTGCCAGTTAGACTACCAAGCGCATACTCAAGATTCGATTTGTACAGTACAAGTAAAATTTCCCTATGGGAACAATACAGTATGTATGTACAGTATGTATGTATGTATAGCTATCCATCTATCTATAATCACCACACATCACGACAAAGCACTCCACGTCGATGTTTTATGTCTTGATCTTCAGTGTACCAAGTTTCATTTCTATTGTTCTATTGTTCTGTGTCTGGCTTTTTTGGCTGTTGTCTACACTGTTTCTAGCCCTTAAAGAGAAACGGCTTGATTTCTATATCCAATTTCACAGACGCGTCGCGGTACGCACACTTCCTATTCAACGCATTCGACACAGATCACAACGGGTCTGTGAATTTTGAGGTAAGCCCACATTTATACTACTCATTTTACAGACTTATATTTTAAACCCGGTTTTCGCCATCCAGATGAAACATACACTTTTAATTCCTCATGTGACAAAGTTAATTTATCTATCTTCCTTATAAGGAATACTGAAATGGAGAGGAGCGCAGCCAGTTATTTCGGTACCACTTTACAATGAGACAGCCCATGTAAATGGTGCATGAATGGTTTATAATCAAGTTATTAATTAGGTTGCAACACTTTGTAAATCGTTAATAGACAATGATAAACAAGTTCTAACAGATCTCTTTGTACTAATGAGTCACCACCATTGATAATCATCAAAAAGGGCGCTTTATGGTTAAGTGGTGCCTTTAACTAATATCTGTGATGAATTATTAATAGACAATAGAAAAACAAGCATAGTAGCAGGTCAAAGTGTACTGTAAATCATATGTTCAGATTATCTTTAAAAAAAAAAATAAAAATCAGTGTTTACCAAGTTGGCTGCTAAGGGGGGCCCACATTAACTATATGAATTAAATGTTTAACTAAAATGAGAATATACTTCAGAAATTCAAGGAAGGCTTTATCAAATAGCGGTAGATAGCCCAGAAAAAATCCCAAGTACAACTGCAAGTCATAAAATGGAATTTTATGGAGTTAACGGAGATAAGATTTGTCCACTTAAGTACTTCCTGTGCCATTGCAGAGCTTCATTCAGAACTCAAGATTGTAGGTGTTAAAATCGTCCAGCGTTTTTGTCGCGCTTGCAAAGGTGCCAGATGAGTAACTTACAAAATGGATTTAAATGTCAATGAAGCCACTCATCTTACATCTCAATCTGTCTCCATCTTGGCTCTAGGACTTTGCGTTGGGTCTCTCCACCCTGCTGCGGGGCTCGGTGCAGGAGAAGCTAAACTGGGCATTCAATTTATACGACATTAATAAGGACGGATACATAACTAAAGACGTAAGCAGCCATTTTTACTGGCTTCTTTATAAAATCTTTGCTATTTTTAATAGTCTTGGGGCAGGCTCTAGTGCAATAATCTACCACAAGCCAGTACAGAGGCACAAGAGAACCTGGTCTAAACTAAGAAAATAACTTTGGGAAAAACAGGGTCACAGCCCCTTTTAGAATCTGCAAAATAAAGCCTACAGAAGAAAGTCTATTCCCAGGACTGCAGTAAAATCTCCACTCCAAACACCACTCCAAACACCACTCCAAACACCACTCCAAACACCACTCCAAACACCACTCCAAACACCCATAGAAACCCCCTCCCCCTCATATCCACCAGGGGCTCCGCAGGTGACCCTATTTATACCCTGACGAAGCCCACAGCCTAATCAGAGTCAGCTGGGATTCATTACCACTCAGCGGCCTGGCCCTGGAAAAGCAACCAATCACCTATGACCTGGCCCTGGAAAAGCAACCAATCACCTATGACCTGGCCCTGGAAAAGCAACCAATCACCTAAACCAGCTCATTGCCACTTCGTGATGAGATCACATTTTGTAATGAGAGCACAGGCTCCGCCTACCCTGAAGACTACATTTGCAAAAGGTTCTTTAAGACCATAACCTAGATTGTTTATTTATTTATTGTTTTTGTTTTTTTGATTGCCTGTAAAATTAGTGTGTGAAGTATGGTGTAAAAAGTAAAAATGTTATATAATAAATAATAATCTGATTTAAATGACTGTCTGACACCCATATGTATTATTACTGAACAATGAAAGTATGTTTGCAGAAAAATTTAAATGAAGCCAAAGAGTAATGAAAGTGTGAAAACTACTCTGCACATACCTTCCTTTTGACTGAATCGGCAATGTTGCCTTGGTTGTCTCCCTGGCTCTCAGGAGATGCTGGACATCATGAGGGCTATTTACAGCATGATGGGCAGGTGCACCTACCCAGTGCTGAAGGACGACGCGCCCAGACAGCACGTGGAGATATTCTTCCAAGTATGAACTGCCACATTTGTTTCACTTCACATTTTACTGTAAGAGGCTCAGAAATCTGTTCAGCAAAATGAATAATACATCGAGACAAGCAAACTAAATCAATCAATACAATAACAGACGGGTTGCACTAACTCCAACTGCATACCAAGATATTTTGGTATTTTTCTGTGGATTTGTCTTTTCAATCCATAATTCCGCAGGATGCCATCGTTAGCATATCATTGATATCTTAAGTTTAGTGTGTGGGGGTGTTTATTGGTGGGACTGTCTTACTTTCTTTTGACAGGAAGTAGTGTCTTGACTAACCTCATAAAGATGTTCTTCTTCCAAACAGAAAATGGACAAGAACAAAGATGGAGTGGTGACCATAGATGAATTCATTGACTGCTGCCAAAACGTAAGTGCCCCCCCCCCCCCACCCCCACCTGCTGCACAGTAAGGCTACTAGTTGAGCTTATTTTAGGAACCGTGACAATAAAAAGTCAGAGTGATGCATGCTGGGATAGAAATGAGGAGAGTCCTCCTGAACATGACCTTTGTTCTTCATACATCTGACAGTTTTGACCCATTCCTATGGAATTCTTTTGACCTCTGCCATCTTATCTTCACAGGATGAAAATATAATGAGGTCGATGCAGCTGTTTGAGAATGTCATTTGACGGTGGTCCGGACCAGTCCCGTCCACCTGCTGGTTCTCCAACTAGTTCTTCACAGGACTGTCCACTTAACGCCGCTTCAATGTATCTTCAGTGTATATGTGTATACATGACATGGCTCATTCGGCCGCATTCTCATCTTCACTGAGACGGTGCCGTAATGCTGTGTAGACAGATCATAGGATGCTTACACGTCATCGACCGACGACGAGCCAATGAACGGACTGCGTTGCGTTCAGCCGCTTTACGGTACAGATCTCTTCATGTTTTTCTTTACGTTTGCATTCGTTCTCTCCTTCACCTCTGCCCTGTTTGTAGCGTTACGCCTCGTTAGGGACTGTAATTTAGATGTTTTACTCCTCTGTTGCAAAATGAGCCAGATGAGTGTGGTTGATTACCGGGGCGAGCGGAGCTGCAAAGTGATTTGGCTCATTGGTAAATCTGGGTAAACTGCCGCGAACCTAAAAGGGGACCAAACCGGATGCCCGTCTGCGCCCATCTGGATCTGACCCCAAGCACATCCCCACTGGCTTTGATGAGGCATTGAACGGCCTAAAAAAATCAGAAAGGGTTTGTCTGTGTACATAATAAAGTCGGAGAGCATCCTCTTCAGTGTTAAATGCACATGGAGAGAAGTTTGAGCAGCGAAACAGGCCACTTCCACGCTTTGATTTAGATCAAACAGTAAATTTATGGGCCGTGCCCTTGTTGAAAACTGTTAGAGTATTGACAAGCACACAATATGCTATAAGACTAACACTAAAACAAAAAGGCATTACGGGATCTGTGACTTGGAAAAAGGTCGCCATGATAAATGGTAGTTAACTTGAAAAATCATTGTTACCATGTAAAGTTAGAGAATAAAATGTGTTAATTAATACTGAAGCACACGGTTAGGTATAGTTTATAGAAATATGAAGGTATAGGGAAATATCATTCTGTGCCGTACTGTACTTTCTGATTTGCATAAATGTGTCACTTGAATTCATCTGTATATTTTATTTTTATTACTACTGTAAATGTCGTTTGTTTTTTTTTCTATGCACAATACAATACTAGACAATAAGTGTGTGTGTTCTATTATCCATACCCCATTTGCTAATGTAGCAGGAAACCTGCCAACAAACGTGCCATTTAAAGAGCTATTTTAACCCTCATATTAGTTTATATATAGTTTGGCTGCCTTTGAAAGCTCCCTACTTGTTGCCATTGTACAAATGACTGTTTTGCACACAGAGTTTGATCGCCATGATTACAAGCAGAGAGAAATCGTAAAAGGCAATACTGCCACCTACTGGTAGAAGTTTTGTCATATTATATATAATGTTTAGGCAACAAGGGCATGTGCAGAATGTCTTATTGCTCTGCTGTGTATTACATTTTACACACACACAGACACACACACACGCGCTTGTATTCATTTCTATGGGAAAAACCCTAATCCCAACAATGACGACCTTAACCCTACCCAGCCCTAACCTCAACCATAAGGAACCAAACTAAACACACAACTTTTGGCATTTTTAATTTTCACAAAGTTTTATATAATTGGGTTTCCCATTGTGGGGACTGAAGGTTGTCCCCACAATTTCAGAATGACAGGTTTTTATCACATTATGGGGACATTTGGTCCCCACAATGTATATGCAAATGCCCGCCCACACACACACACACACACACACACACAAACCTAGATATTTTGGTAAAAGGCTCATCATTTGATTCTTACAAAATCAAACAACTAATCCAATTACCATCCAGTCCTCCTGAATAGAACATTTATTGCTATAGAGTTACAAGTCTTCAGCTAGATTAAGATATGCTCTAGTACAATTTAAAAAAAAAACAGTAGCAGATATTATGTAGGAATATATAAACACATTGCACAATTCTCATGGATGCACTCATACAACAAATTACACCCAGCAATTGTTGCTTGTGCTGCTGAGTGGATGTGCGGCCTCACGCTAGGGTTCGGGTTCAAATCCCACTGGCCCTGTGCAGCTTGCATATTCTCCCTGTGCTGCACAGGTCCCCCCCCCTCCCCCCCCACAAGCCTAAAACACACAGTCAGGCTAACGGGCGTCTCTAAATTACCCATAGTGCATGAGTACGCGTGTGTAAGTGCCCAGTGATGGATTCGCATCCTGCCTGGGGGGGGGGCGTATCCAACCCATATGCCCAATGCTGCCCTGGACCCTGACCAGGAAAATAGTTTTGGAGATGGATGGGTGGCTAGATTTCCTGCAGTATCCCTGATCCATTCCTTTTATTCATCTACAAAGGTTTTGTAGGGTGCATCGTACCTGAGACGTACAAACGAATATTTTCTGTCCATGTCAAGTTTGAATCTTAAAAGGATGCAAAAGGGAAGGAAAACAGTCACAGTACCGGTCTGTGGTTTATGGTCTAGAAAACTGTTTTGTTTGAATATTATCAGATTACATGCGTTACATACACATGTATTTTCAAACTGCATACAAATTATACGAATGTGCCAAAGTAGGGATGTTTTAAAATAAGACATAGTTGATGCACCTATAAATATATAGTCATAAGAAATGGGTGTTTTTCCTTTTTACCGATATCTGACAACTTCCTTAGTGACTAACAGAGAACTCAAACAACTACATTAATCATTTTACAAAATTTCTTATCCGTCTATGGCAAGAATTGTGAACATCTGGTGTTCTCATTAGCAAAGATCTTATTAGCAAGTCTAACCAGAGATACAGACGATTTTGGAGGACAACCAGATCTGATCGCAGAATTGTAACGGAATACAGATCAGAAGCGCTTAAGTCTTAAAGCTTTTAAAACTGCTGTAATTTGTATTAGCAAATCTGACACACAATGCAAAGTAGTGCTTTTGGACAAATAATTCAACTGCATTTATTTCTAACTAGCACTTTCACTACCTGATATTTGACAAACTTGGAAAAATGCCCTGTGCTAAATGCCATAATCATGGTCACATGTTTAATATACATAGATGAGTTAAAACGATTAAGGCTGTTTATAGCAGACAATATTAAATCATATCCCATTTTGTTACAAAATAATAGTCATATGACATGTGCAGTCACATGCTATGAGGGTAATTAATGATTCTCAGAACAGACTTTACACATTAGTCATTACACAGTTGTCATAAAGAGTCTCTTTGGTCCATTAATGATTGATGTGTTGTTAACAACTGCTGATTGGTGCAGCCTTCAACGAGCCTTTGGCACTACGTGATTGGTCAGCTCTCTATGACTGCTGTGAGTTTGTGCATCACTCTAAACCAGTGTCTGCCAATCCGGTCCTAGGAGACCCACAGTCGGTCCCTGTTTTTGCTCCCTCTGAGCTCCCTGCCGGACAGTCTACATTTTTGCTCCCTCCCAGCAGGGAGCAAAAACGTGGATTGTCTGTGGGTCCCAGGGACCGAATCGGGAAACACTTGCTCTAAACGGCCCAGAGAGAAAAAGATGCTTTAATAGTGGTGCTGGGATAGACAGCTGGCTTTTGAAAAGTGTGGACATGCCCGGTTGAGTGTTTTAAATATTGCCGCAGTTAAAATATAAATATTATGATTATTCATAGTAATGATGCCACGGATATCAGTACCAGTCCAGATGAAGGGATCGCAATGTTAGTGGCAAGGTACTAGTGCTGCTGAAGGACCAGCGGTGACACAGAGACCCCCGGTTAGGTCAGCAGCTGTCGGATCTCGCGGTGGACGTGGCACAGGAAGTCCATGTAGGAAACTCCATGTAGACCCTTGTCCTCCACCAGGTACTGACGGAACAGCATGTCTGACTTTTCCTTGTGCTTCACTATCAGGAGCTGAGAAGATTGAAAAGCAGGACTTGTGTGTGTCTGTTGGGGGCATGTGTGGTACAGATACATACGTGTCTGTCAGTCTGCTGTACCTTCATGGCCTGCGCCCTCTGCTGGCTGATGCGTTCCATGACAGTCCGCAGCTTCTTAGAGAGAGGATTGTCTAGCTCAGGTATTGAAGTCTGGGAAACACAAGGAACAACAAAAGAACGATATCATCACGATTTATGTTTCACTCATTTAACGCTGAATTTCTAGCCTAATGTATTAATACGAAAAAGTTTTGAATCTTAATAGGCAGAAAAAGATTTTAAAATATTATTTATAATTTCTCATCTCAATGTCATTTATGGTATGTTTCAATCTGATGATGTTGCATGAGGATGCTAAGCATTCCCTAACAGCCAGGGGGCACTATCTCACCATCTCCGGGCTGACATGCGCAAAGGACGGCACGTTGAAAACGCCTTGGATGAACTCCGGGGGGCAGCTCTGGCCCAGCCACAGGAACATCCGCCGGCCGTCCTCTAGCAGGAAGGCCCCGCTGTCAGAGAGGCGCTCCTCTGAGCAGCGGACAGCAGGGGGCAGTGTGTCGCTCACCACGTCCATGCAGTGCTGCAAGGACAGGGAGGCAGGGGGTGACACGAGGACACCTGCAGGGGCCAGCTTGTCACATCTCCCGGATAAACCGATGCAGCTTAAAGACTCCCTGAAGCTCAGAGGAACGTCGACTCACCACAGGTATGAGCCGGGGGTAGAAAAGGGCCTGCGTCTCCTCCACGCCCATGCCCGTCACCGTGATCCTGTGCAGGGCCCTGTCATCAGTGGACAGTTCCGGACTGGCCACAAGGGCGGCGCTCTTCATCAAGCTATTCATGTACAAGGGGAGTACCTTCATGGCATCCGGGAGGATCAGCTGGAAGGTGGGCAAAGCAGCGAGATTAACAGTAAGCAGTGGTTAACCGAAAGCCACTAGACAATTTCAGAGTTTTAACCTGTGAGTCATGGGTTTGGGGAAAAGCATGCTTACTGGTAAAGTGCAAGCAAACCATTTCTAATTCCTCAGCAAGTGACCAAAAAGCCTTAATCACCTATAAAATTACCCCTAACATGCATGTTTATACCTAGCTTATATTATTTTTCTGCATTTACCCTAAACTCATGTCCTGCATCGGCTGGGACAGGCTTCCGGCTTTTCACAACCCTGAGCCAGATAAGAATGTTTGGATGATTGTCATTAAGTGTCAGTGGTCAAATTTTCTTCTGCGTTACGGATAATTTCCACTTCAAGCTCCCTCTGTTCTCAAGACGGAGGACGGAAGAACTGTGTTCTAATTTCTTATCTGTTTTTCTGTCTTGGATATCTCCTCAGAAGACTTTCAGCTCTGTTTATGATCATGTAATCCAAACTCTCTAAAGGACCGGCATAACGAGCCATTAAAGATATAAAAAAAAACAATTTATAAAGGAATACACAATAATGTCTCAGCAAGCTGTAAGAGCCCTAGTGGATTACAAGATATCAACAATATTAAACCACAAAGGACATCAAAGAGGCAAATACTCATGTGACAGAGAGGCCTCAGTACTCTATATGGAAACAGACACTTTCCCTATTGCAGTACACTGGTTCCTGTCATGCCTCTTCTATTTAAATGGTAAATACTGCTCTATGCATCTTCTAGCAGCGAGTACCTTGAGCTGATCAATTTCAAAGGTGATTTTTTAAATGAATTTGAGGTGAAAATGCATTGTACGTATGACAGAAAGGCAGTTCGTCAGCCCAGATGAGAGGTGGCATTGTGGTCGGCTGAGGCCGACTGTTCCATGCCCAACCTGCAGGGGGCAGCCCCGTCACCCAGCATGCAAACTACACTGACCTGGCTGACTGCAGAAGGACTGGCGCAGTGTTTCCTGTAGCACGCCAGCATGTGGGATGTCTGGTTGACCAGGATCTCACGCACTGCCTTCAGCGGCTGGTTCACCATGGCGCGGTACGCTAGGAGAGCAAGGAGAGCCTCAGTTACCATACCTCAGTTCATTTTTCCCACTGGGTTCCAGTCATGTCAGCCCATTAGGGACTAAACTACGTTTCTCTGCCACAGTTACGCGACCCACTACAGCAGGGGTGCCCAACTTCAGTCCTGGGGGGCCGGAGCCCTGTGTAGCTTAGTTCTTAACCCTGTTCCACCACAAATGATTCAGCTCAAGAGCTGCGTGGTAATTAGCACAAGGAGTTGAATCAGGTGTGTTAAACGAGGGGAAACCCAATAGTGTGCAGGGTTCCGGCCCCCCAGGACTGGAGTTTGATAGCCGAGGATCAGAATTGAGAAACCACCATTCACCAGATGATTTTATCCAAAGTGACATACAACTGGAGTTTAAGTGCCTTACTCAAGGAACCAACAATAAAACCATTCCACATGCCACAGGATTCAAACTGGCAACCTTCTGATCACAGGTACAGCATACTAGCCCGCTGAGCCACAGCAAATTCAACAAGTATCACAGCACAGCGATTACCCGACTTGGCGAAGAAGTTGACGAGGGTGTCCGTCTCGCAGCTCTTGAAGAGCTCGGCCAGCTGGGAGGAGCAGCTGAGCCCCAGGTTGTGGATTCGCAGCCGCCTCTGCCCCCCCACGGATGTGTACAGCAGCGCGCACTACAGCAAGACAGAGAAATCGTTCTTTTCCGGCAGCTAAAACGTGCAGAACTGGCCCGGCGATAGCGAGGGCCGGCGGGGAGCGACACCCCCCCACCTGAATCAAGGCCCCCGTGTCCTCGCTCAGCTTGTCGTCGTGCTTGAACTCCACGGTGACGGCCTTGTGGCAGTCCACACCTGCCATCTCCACGTCGGTGGTGTTGTTCATGTGGATGGCGCCGTAGAAGTCTGTGGCTCTGAAGCCTACGCCACATAAAGAGAAGAAGCAAAAGCTCAGTGGGTTAGGACTTGGTGTATACAATCAGAAGGTTGTTGGTTCAAATCCCAGTATCAGCAGACTGATGTCACCATGGGGCCTCAGGGAAAAGCCCTTAACCCCCAATTAAACACATAAAAAAGGACTAAATAGAAAAATTTGTTTGAGGGCAAAGTGTGTGCTCAGCATGCTAAGCCTCAGTGCCTTTGATCGGAAGGTTGCTGGTTTGAGCCTCAGCACAATAATCACATCTGTGGGCCCTTCAGCAGGACCCTTAACCCCCTTCACTGACAAGCTTGCTCTCACTTACATGTGTGTCATGGAGCGCAAGATGGGGTAGGTGAAGGGAACTTCCCCATGAGGGATCAGTAAAGCGTCATTACTATATTAAATACTATACTCTACTGAATAACCAAAATGCTATTTACCTTTGGAAGACAATAAAATAGGTATAATGTGTAAAATTTCTGAAATATACAGTCTCCCCAAATTTTAAAAAGAAAAATAATTTTGTGATTTACATGTTAAAGTGACTTTTGTAACATTAGTGATGTAACTGAGAACTCAACAGGCTGCATCTGCAGCAGCTGGTCGGGGGGGTGGCTGGACACAAAATCCTGAACATTTGTATCGTGGTTTCAGGCTCAGTTTCAGAGCCGTTACAGCATTATCGCTTAAAAGCATCTGCTGAATAAAGAGTGCTTCTTCTGCTTGAAGTGGAAGCGTCTTATTAACATCCTCAGCAGGATAAAAACTAAAACATCTAAGATGTGTAAAAGCATCTTCTAATTCTCCCTTATCTGTAAATGTCACTACATGGCATGAAAGGCTCATTACCTGTGCTGGTACGGACTCGCATGATGGCGTCGAACCCGACTGGCTTCTCCACATCTCTTCTGAGATCCCTGAGGAAATGTTCCCCGTCAATGTCCACCTACAGCAGAGACTCAAATTTTAGACTTTTCTGCAATAGTCTTGCTTGAAATAGACACTGGAGTGTAGCGACTAATGACACATTGTAGCAGTGCAGCACTTAGTGACACATTGTAACAGTTAATGGCTCATTGTAGCAGTGTAGCAGCTAATGACAGTGTAGCACCTAATGACGCATTGTAGCAGTGTAGCAGCTAATGACACACTGTAGCAGTGTAGCAGCTAATGACACACTGTAGCAGTGTAGCAGCTAATGACACATTGTAGCAACATAGCAGCTAATGACATACTGTAGCAGTGTAGCACCTAATGACACACTGTAGCAGCGTAGCACCTAATGACACACTGTAGCAGTGTAGCAGCTAATGACACATTGTAGCAACATAGCAGCTACAGTATGCATGTAGCACACAGACAGTGTAATGCCCAGCGGCACACCTCAGCACCTGAAAGTTGTTGTACTTGTAGACGGAGCCTCCAGTGTGCATAGATACGCTGCCCACAGTGGCCACGTCCACATACTGGCTGGGGAAGAGGAAGAGGTCCACGCAGCAGCCGCTGGTGACGCAGTCCTTGCACAGCTGCTCGTAGATGCCCTTCTGGGGCTGGAAGAGAGTCTGCTCGGCGAGCACAAAGGTAAACAGGCCGTGAACCTCGAGTCGCACGGGGCCTCTGGCCAGACTCTACACATGGCCAAACCCAGCATCATTTAACCATTAACTACGTGTCACCAGTGCTAAGGGCCGCTTAGCGCTTATCAGGGCGGCTAATGATCGAGACGGGGGGTAAACAAACAGACAGACAGGGATTCCTCCCAATCAGAACTGTAAGTCCTTCAAAATACCATTATAAATAACATATAGGTCATTTAAATAATAGAGATGCAGGGGTGCAGTAGGGGCACGGATACCCTGGCAGAACTTTGGAGGGGCTCTTGAATATGTAAAATTATATGTAGCATGGGGCTGGGGGGGCAAGATGACATTTAGTCAGGGGGCCCATAATTTCTAGTTAAGCCTCTGGGTAGCTGCTTTGTGACGTCAAGAACAGACACACTTCAGTTAACTTAACTAACATAACTAATGTTAAAGTTTAAGTTAGTGTCAGAGGGAGAACAAATTTGATAGCCAGACCTAGGAATTTCAGGGGGGGGTGACAATTAAAGTTGTTAATTAGGATAACGGGGCTGTTGACTGGTGATTCAGGTTGCTAACACCATGCTGTAAGCTTTCCCCCACAGCAGCAGGCGTCATCCTCGCTGAGGGCGCGTACCTTCTCCTTCTCTGTGTTGAACAGCTTCCTGTCGTCGCGGTTCTTCAGTTTCCCAGGAGCCTCGCCGGTCGGCATCGAGGAGTGGAAAACGAAGAGCTTGCCGCTGCACTCCGCTGCCTGCGGGACGGGGAGACCTTGCCGTCACGGAGACGTCGGAAGGCCGCTACCACGCGGTGGGCTGCTGGACAAGATGGCCGACTTACCCTCAGAGCCTCGATGCCCGCCTGGATGACGGGGGCAAAGACCGTCTCGCTTTCGCCGGTGTCAGCAAACATGTCTGGAATCTGGTCTAACAGACTGGGAACACGGGGAGATGCAGAACATGAAAAGGAGCGGAGATAAATCCTGCCTTGCTTACATGCCGGCATTTTATAAAATATAACCTTACTGAAAGCTTCAGACATCCATTATTGTCATTTTTGTCATCTGCATAAATAAAAGAATGAAACGCCATTTCCCCAGACTGAACAGCGCCGTAATCAACAGACAAACAAACAGACAAACAGACAAATAACACAGTAAACAATAATCACAATGCTGGTCAAATATCACAATAACATAAAAAATATAAAATATGTAGCAGCCAATAATGTAGTAACTTAAACTGTTATTACGTTTTTGATTTTGAAATTTTGTTACATTATTGGTAAGTTGTAACATTATTGACATTTATTTCATTAAGGAAAAAATAATAAGCTACTAGCAGTTATTAGATTATTGACAGTTATTACATAATTGGCTGCTACAAAATATAAAATAACAAAAATATATAAAGACGCCATTTCTGTTTCAGTAGGACATGTAGAGGGTTGGCCTTTGCGGTTCGACATACCTATTGATGACAGATCGCGACTCCTGGAAGTTGACGAGGAAGCCGTCAAGCAGGGGCAAGAACATCTCAGCCACGTCTGACACCACCATCATCTGGGGCTGGGCCAGGGTGCTCTTCACGTTGTAGAAGTGGAGGATTTTGTTGTAGGTCACGAAGCCCACCTTGACTGCTGAGCTCTCGGCGCCCTCCTCCCTGGCCGAGACACACACACACACACACACACACACACACACACACACACACACACACACACACCCACACAGACACACACACCTTAATATCCTTCTT